TAAATGAGCACTTATTAAGAATATTCCAAAATTGAGAAAAATGTATAATAAGCAAAATCGAGGTGAAAGAAACTTTATTACCTGTAGAACTTATATTGCTCAGGACACCCATAATTTCTTCGCTTTGCCAGCATTTCTTGAAAGTGAGGTCATTATCAACCCAAGTTTCGTCCAAATAAATAATATGCCTTCCTTCTTCCCGGAACTTTTTAATAGACCTAAGATACTTGTATCGCCAATGTAAAATACTGGGTCTTTCCATTAGTAATTTCCTTTTGTTGTGGCATTTACGCCAGTAAAATCCTTTTGCTTTTAAAAGCAGCCTCAACGATTCTTTACCAAATGGAAATTCCATTTCTTCCTTCAGTTTGATTAGAAGTTTACTACAAGTAGGTACCACTTTAAAATCACAGTAAAATTTTTCTATCATTCTCCGAATAATGGAAAAATCGACTCCATCAATTTTTTGGATCACAGAAGGGCGTGATCTCTTTTTTCCGGGAGAAGCTAAAGGCTGTGTGGAGGTTGCATTTTGCCTGTCTTTATCTTCTTTTCTAATTTTACTTATAGTTCGTTCACTAACACCCGTATAATATGCCGCCCTTGCATTTCTAGCTACCAGTGGATAAACGAAAGTATTGTTAGCCGCTTCTGCATCGCAAGCACGTATCACGTTTGCTATTATTTCCCTTGCCTGGCTGTGAATAACTTTCCCATGCTTGAATTCCATTATCACCACTAAACAGTAAATTATATTTTCAAAGTATTTGCCAACTGCCTACGCCTATGGGAGTAGGTTTATAAATGACCGTGCCATCGGCACGTTATTCTAGTTTCAGATAAGATAAGAGTTTTGGACCAATCAGCGACCGGATGTTTACCTGCGGCCTGGGTTTTCCAGCTACATTGCCAAATTCAGCGGAACAATTCTATATCTTAAATATGTTAATATGTATGGACCGCATTTTATGTAGAACATCTGACAACTTCGCAATTTTTTGTCCGCATTCTTTCGGCTTGCAATCTTTCGCTGGTCCAACAGTACCTGCGAGGGATCGCAGGTAGTAGTCGTTCCCGGACCCCTCGTGCTTCTCCTTCCGTCGCAGAAGATAACGATATCATTTCACCCTTTTGAGAGGGAATTATGGGTAGTCACAGCGGCGCCGCTAACATATTTTGAAACTCTTGATTTTTCGAAAACAAGAGTTTCAAGAGAACCAGCAGACCCTCTATCGATGATCGCTTAACGACATCGATAGAATGTGCGAGGTAAAGGGAACCAACCCGGCGTTCCCAGAGACTGAAACACATGAGGAGACGTTGTAGCAGACCGCAGGTCACGCACAACACATGGCCTACCGAGACGCTGATGAGTCGGGCCACGCGGAGGTTTAGGGTTTAGTGGGTATTAGGTGCTCTCCTCAAGACCCTGGAGTCCCACACACGCCGTAGCTCGGGCTATGGTATGGTGCGTAAATGCATTCCCCCCTCACCAAAAAAAAAAAAAAAACCCAACAATCGAAATATTGTTTGAAAACGGCTTTTCGTGTTAACAAAATGAAGATATTTGATCCTTATTCCCCTTGGATGGTCCAGTCGAAACCAAATGCTGACTGTTGCACAGATTAATTTGAATTTTTCAGTTCGACACCCGGTTATAATATGTGACCAGGTAACTAGATATTTTCAAGTATTTGCAAAATGTGTTGGAAACGTCATAGTCGTGATGTAAAGTTGGACCAGCGAAAGATTGCAAGCCGAAAGAATGCGGACAAAAAATTGCGAAGTTGTCAGATGTTCTACATAAAATGCGGTCCATACATATTAACATATTTAAGATATAGAATTGTTCCGCTGAATTTGGCAATGTAGCTGGAAAACCCAGGCCGCAGGTAAACATCCGGTCGCTGATTGGTCCAAAACTCTTATCTTATCTGAAACTAGAATAACGTGCCGATGGCACGGTCATTTATAAACCTACTCCCATAGGCGTAGGCAGTTGGCAAATACTTTGAAAATATAATTTACTGTTTAGTGGTGATAATGGAATTCAAGCATGGGAAAGTTATTCACAGCCAGGCAAGGGAAATAATAGCAAACGTGATACGTGCTTGCGATGCAGAAGCGGCTAACAATACTTTCGTTTATCCACTGGTAGCTAGAAATGCAAGGGCGGCATATTATACGGGTGTTAGTGAACGAACTATAAGTAAAATTAGAAAAGAAGATAAAGACAGGCAAAATGCAACCTCCACACAGCCTTTAGCTTCTCCCGGAAAAAAGAGATCACGCCCTTCTGTGATCCAAAAAATTGATGGAGTCGATTTTTCCATTATTCGGAGAATGATAGAAAAATTTTACTGTGATTTTAAAGTGGTACCTACTTGTAGTAAACTTCTAATCAAACTGAAGGAAGAAATGGAATTTCCATTTGGTAAAGAATCGTTGAGGCTGCTTTTAAAAGCAAAAGGATTTTACTGGCGTAAATGCCACAACAAAAGGAAATTACTAATGGAAAGACCCAGTATTTTACATTGGCGATACAAGTATCTTAGGTCTATTAAAAAGTTCCGGGAAGAAGGAAGGCATATTATTTATTTGGACGAAACTTGGGTTGATAATGACCTCACTTTCAAGAAATGCTGGCAAAGCGAAGAAATTATGGGTGTCCTGAGCAATATAAGTTCTACAGGTAATAAAGTTTCTTTCACCTCGATTTTGCTTATTATACATTTTTCTCAATTTTGGAATATTCTTAATAAGTGCTCATTTAATTTGTCTAATTGAATACATAATCCCTTGCAAGTATTTTTTTCTCAAAAATATGTTTTTTATACATAGTGATTCAAAAAGGTGTTGGCAAACTTAAAATAACACTAAAATGAGGCTATTTATTCATTTCCAGGACGACTTATAATTGTTCATGCGGGTTCGCAAGATGGTTTTGTTCCTGGAGCCTGTCTCATTTTCAAGGCTGGCTGTGCCACTGGTGATTATCACGGTCAAATGAACCAAGAAAATTTCACGAAGTGGCTTACTGAAAAACTATTTCCTAACATTCCTCCTAATAGTATTATAATAATGGATAATGCACCTTACCATTCAGCTTTGGAAGACAAGCCTCCAACTAGATCTTCTCTAAAAAGAGACATCATCACGTGGTTGAGCAAAAAAGGTATAGAGCATGATCCTAATGCTAAAAAAATGGAGCTTTATGAAATAGCTTGTCTACATAGGCCACCATCTGATGAGAAAAATTATAAGATAGATAATTTAATAAGAAGTTTCGGACACACCCCACTTCGAACGCCACCCTATATGTGTCAGTTTAATCCCATAGAGATGATTTGGGCACAAGTAAAATTTTTCATTAGAAGCCATAATACAAGCGGCGAATTTACTATAAAAAAACTAGATGAAATTTCTAATAAGGCCATCGCTTCAGTAAGTGCCAGTGACTGGCAAAAGGTTATTGGACATGTTATAAAAATTGAAGATGAATATTGGGAAAAAGACAGTCTCATTCAAGAAATACAGGAAGAAATAATAATCAACATAGGAGGTGAAAGTGATAGCAATGACAGTTCCTCAGACAGTGATCATGACTCTAATCAGGATTGAAACTATACTAGATTGGCTACCTTTTAGAATTTTTAGATATTCATTTATTATACTATTGGTTTGTGGCTTTTAGTATCTCAGTAGAAAGTCTAATTCTATGTGTTGTTTATGGGTTATTTCATCAAGAAATTACTTTTTGTTTTCCTATATTTTTCTATTCAGTCAGATATTTTTGACTTGTTGTATTCTATTTTAGAAGAATGCATAATTTGTTTTGCTGTTCAATCATAATGCGTACATAGGAATATTACTTGTTGCCTAAAAAATATATTTATTTTGTTCTCAATATTCAGTGTTTGTGTATATTTATTTCTTATAATGTATGTTTGGTATCACGTCATTATGAATCGCAAAAAAATATTAATACTACCAGTTGTAATAAAATATAAATTCAATTAATAATTCAAGTCTCTCCGATCTCCGCCTATGACTCCATATAAAATCGTCTAATGGTAAGGTTTTTTCATCGCATTTCCCCCTTTCGTCCCTAGCAATCTTTGGCTGGTCGATCAATAAAATCGAATATTCTGTGATAGGGAAGAAAATTCTATTCATACTTCGTTTGAGAAGGCCGTTTTTGGTCTCGCTACACGCCCCAGGTTATAGAAGTACTGGCATAATAATCGCCCACTTCTAGAACATGATATCTAATGTACTATTGGGCGGATTTTTGCAGAAAGGAACCAACCCACTAAATATGAAAAATCTAGATTTTAGGAAAATAAACTATTACGAGCAATACCATTTACTGTAAAAAAAATCCATACATATATTTAAAGACTTTAGTATGCTATTAATTGAAATCGTGTTTGGTCAAAACTTTGAAACCTAATTGCTCAATAATTATTTTTCTGGGTTGGTTCCTTTCTGCAAAAAGCCGTCCAATTGTGGCTATCTCCTGACCCATCTCCCAGTTTTGAATAAATAACTTTACTTTTTTTGAGTTCCGATTTGCAACATTAGCCTTTTACAAAACACAGGTCCAAATTTTTCTGTAAAGTTATATCGGTAGTTTCATTTATTACTCAGAGTAAGGGAGATGGCTTATTGAGGCATATAATCTCATTCGTTGTACTTTAGTGCATTAGTAGGTGTGACCGTTGAGATTATCCTCTTTATTTACGCTTTGATAGGCCCCTTTCCTCTCCAGCTTTCTTAACCCCTTACTAGCGTCCCCGTCCCTACGCCTATGACTATCCCCCGCGCCACGCCTTAGCCTTAGCTAGCCGGCAAGGGTAATCTCAACAGTCAGACCTATGACACAACCCCAATTATCAGTTTTCTTTCCTTCAGGGGGCAAATTGTTCTATTTATACATACTGCTTACCTAATCTATGCGAACCATAGGTTTTGAGAAATAATAATAAGATAACACGCAATTCTTAGTTCATTTTTATTTTAAGTTCATAAACATGTTTAAAAGAAGTGTATATCATATTGAGGAAATCATATGTATCACACATGAGCAATTATTATTGGTCTTCACACCGTCTCACATCCACCCTGGGATTTTATTTGGGCCTCACATTCTTCGTTGGAGCTGGAAGAACATTGTGCTCCTCTTCGACAATCTCCTTGTTGTTTTACTTGAGATTCTGATTTAGCCTGAGCCTGATTCTTTGCTTCGGTTGATCTACTGTTGTTGCTTGCTTCAGATTGGGATTTAGAAGCGGACTTACTCTTAGTTTGACCTCCCTGTAACTTTTCCTGAGATTGGGAACTTGCCTGGCTCTTGGCTTTAGTAGATTCTTTGTTGATGGGTGCTTCATACTCGTATTTTGATTCAGCCTTACTCTTAGATTTACCTTCTTGCAACTTCTCCTGTGATTGAGGCTCTGCCTCACTCTTGGCTTCAGCAAATTCCTTGTTGTGTGCTCCATATTTTGATTCACCCTTAGCCTTGGATTTACCCCCTTGTGATTTTACCTGTGATTGAGATTTTGCTTCACTCTTGGCTTCAGCAGATTCCTGGTTATTGTGTGCTTCATATTTTGATTCAGCCTTACTCTTAGATTTACCTCCTTGCGATTTTTCCTGTGATTGAGACTTTGCCTCACTCTTGGCCTCAGCAGATTCCTTGTTATTGTGGGCTTCATATTTTGATTCAGCCTTACTCTTAGATTTAGCTCCTTGTGATTTTTCCAGTGATTGAGACTTTGCCTCACTCTTGGCTTCAGTAGATCCCTTGTTGTTGTATGCTTCAGACTTTGATTCAGTCTTGCTCTTAGATTTATCTTCTTGTGATTGTTCCTGTGATTGAGACTGTGCCTGACACTTGGCTTTATTAGATTCCTTGTTGTTGTGTGCTTCATACTTTGATTCAGCCTTACTCTTAGATTTACCTCCTTGTGATTTTTCCTGTAATTGAGACTTTGCCTCGCTCTTGGCTTCAGCATATCCCTTGTTGTTGTGTGCTTTAGATTTAGATTCGGCATGACTCTTTGACTTCTTGGACTCTGACTTTCCATGAGATTTGGATTTTGAATGGCTGTTAGATCTAGTAGATTTGTTGCTCCAAGATTTGCATTTTCCATGGTGCCATCTGTGACATTTGCTCCTTTTGTGGCCTTTGGACTTTGAATTCTTTGATGAAGAGCTAGGGCTAGAGATTGCTTCAGATACTGCCTTGGCTGTGGAACTATCTCCAGAGCGAGCCTTAGAATCAGAACCAGATACTCGAATTGCACTAGCTTTGGAACCGGCACCAGATACTGCTTTCGTCAGAGAATCACCTCCAGAAATCGCCTTTGTGATGGAACCAGCTCCAGAAATCGCCTGTATCAGGGAACCAGCTGGGGAGCTACCCTTCCCAGAGATTACCTCGGTTATAGAACTGGCTGATGATCCTGCCCCAGCTAATTGAGAAAGTCCTGAACCACATCTTGAGCTACCAGATTCAGATTCTGATCTGGCTAAGCTTTCAGATTCTGGATAATAAGGAAAAATATCAGTTACAAAAAGTGAAGAACGTTTTTATCGTAATATACGTAACGTAACAGACGTTGGAGCAAAATTTACTTCTCCTGGTTCATTCAATTGATATATTTGCCTTTTAATCAAATAATATACGAGACTCCTTAAAGACAGATTTGAACTATTACTTCCAAAACAGGAATTAGTTTATTCACAGGTATGCTGATTTTTGAGCTGTCGCAAACAAGACGATGATCGCACTGTTGAAAAAATGACCCCGTTAGAGTTTTCCAAAGCCGTCTTCTGAGAGATATCTGCGATCAGAGTGAATAAAACAAAACAGTTTCTCCTATTGATCATTTTCAAATTCACAAAATGCAAAAATTGATATTTATGCTCAAACAAAATATTACTAATCTTTATGCGGCTAAGTGTCAGAAGTAAAATTCTAACATTTCGCTCTAAAATCCCTATGCAAAATTTGGGCTCATTTTAACATTAAACTTAGTCTTTCAGTTGTTAATAATTATATGCTTATCAACAAGGTGAGGATTTGATGCTACGTGAGGGGCTTATGCAAAGAATCGTCAGACTTTATTTGATAAAAAATCAGCGATCAGCTATGTAGTTCGGTTTATCTAAAACCATTCCTTTTTTGTTATCAAAATAAAAACGGTATGAGGATAGCGAAGTAAAACCATCAAAAATTGGCATGATTGTAAGCATATGAGCATAAATATTTTCGAATACTATATAAATACCTGACTTGTCACCGCAGTTTTCTGACTTCGCTTTGCTCAGTGCGGATGTTACGGACGGCGAACCTCCAGGTTTACATTGTACAGTCTGTAACATAAGGCATAGAATTACAATGAGGTTCCACATTGCAATAGAGGTATGTTACCTCTGAAGCCAACAAAGCTACAAGAGCTATCACAGCTACTGAAATTAGTTTCATTGCACAAGCTGTACATGAACTGAAGATAATTAAGGAACAGTTGGGCATTTATAGTAATTTTCACCAATGTTTGTTCCGTAACAATGGGAGCTAACAAAATTTTCTTTGTGAACGCATTCATCTATAAATATTTCTATCGGTAGAATCAATCTACTATTGTCTTCAGTGTTTGTTATCTCAATTATGCATATATGCATTATACCTATGTTTATTCGAGATGAGAAAGTTCCATTCACATTCCCTACACATATGCATAATTATAATATTATTGGAATTCTTTTGCTAAAAGGAACGGAATGAGCAAAAATTGTAATGGACCTCCCATTAAAATGTGTGTAAGGTCATCTTAAAATATTGTCAAAAATTAAGAACGAACTGAATCGGTTGAAACTGCTTTTAACTGTCTCAAGATATTCTCAGTACTCAATTGGAGCTTCTTCCTTTACTCTGTAATGCTTATAAAATGAACTTTTTAATTAATCGGTACGTGCAGTTGCATCTTTAGCAATTTGCTTCAATGCATCACTACTAAAATAGTTATATTAAAGAACTTGCCTTAAGTAAAGTTCTATCTCAATTATATGCGGGCCCTGTAAAGTAAATAAAGCAGGCGTAGTATCCCCGAATGGGTCACATTTCACATATTATCCATGCTAAAAAATAGCGACAATCTTGCAACCTTGTCCCCGCATCCCATCTCTGGTGATCTCATTATTTTTCAAAGCTCCAGGTTGTTCCACTCTCCATGGTTTACTGGGTATTATTTACTTGCGACTTGAGGTAAGTTGATTTAATCCAACAATCAAATCAGTTGTAGTCATTTCAAGTATGTGCATAACAACGGTTATAATTTACAAAACCTTTTTATTGACACGCTTTTTTCATAAATCATATGTTTTCATGCATCACATTTTGCGTCAACCTGTGATACAAACAGGTCTGTATCAGGTTTTACAAACCGTAGAATTATCTTTTTAAGGCATCCAGACTAAGTACCTCTTCTATTTACGTTGGACGCATTAAAGATGATGAATCTATTTTCTTATTTTCCACTGAAATAATTTATGTTGCACATAGAAATATGTTTCTGATCGTACACTATTTCCATTTTTTTATTGGCAGGCTCAATTTTAGATTACTACCCACCTCATTTATGCATGTCAACGCCATGGTGTAGCATAAACGTAAATGTCGTTTTTGCGACAAACGCTTTCACAGCCTGGAAAGAAGTTACCAGTATGAGGTAGTTTACATGGTATTCGTGGTCTGCCGTTTTCGAAAATGAAAATATCGTTTCAGTACCTGCAAACGCGAGAAAAAATTAAATTTCATAGCTGCTCATGTAAACAGCAATTTTGTTGAAGGGCAACTGATGTAGCCATAACTTTCTCGCTCTAAACAAGTCAGAAATACCATTGGTCCAGACATAGAATATTGTCTACATCCAGTGGCGGATTTAGAGGGGGGCGCGGGGGACCACAACAAAATTTTAGTAGATTGGTCGAGTAGTTATTAAGAATTCCTAATTGTTTATCCCAAAACATCTGTTTTCCGGCCATCACTACTAGTTTATTGAGCAATATACAGGGTTAGTTCAAAGGGCATTTTATAGCAAAATACACTAGTTTACCTTGCCGATATGAATCGCAAACTATTCCGGAAGATAAATGTTATTTTTATGTTTTCCAAAAATTTCCAACATTTTTACATGCCATCAACACCGATTAGAAAACTGAGAAAACAACAACTACCTATGCCGTAAATCTAAGTTCGAAAACAAAAGTCTGAGGAATATCTGTAAAATCTACAATATTGAACTTCAAAATGTAATTGACTATACCTATTGATATTTTTATCACCTGCTGATATAATAGAAGTGCTTGATTGTGTCAGTATTTACACCAAATGCTTGATTTGTTTAACAGGTAGGTCAGAGTATTAATCCTAAAGCTTAGTACACACTAGTAGACCCCGTTGCGCAATTTGTCTATAGGTAGTCTGGAGACGGTCTCAAGACACGATCTATAGATGGTCTATAGTCATCCTTCTTTGCCTCATCTAGCGTCCATAAGATAATGTAAATTTTTCGGTCTCATGTTCGTTTTCGCCATCAAAGACATTGTTTCGTGTGGAATGGCTAGGATGTCTCGGGGTCTCTCAAAATGTTTTTTTTTTTTTTGTTAACAGAGCAATTAAGTTTTTTATGTTTTAATCTTTAATATTATTACACTACTCGTAGTTAATTATAAATGCCACGTATTTCTTTTGTTCTCATATAATAAAATATTACCTTTCTGAGGATTTCTGAGCACCTTCCATATTTTTTTTCAAGGTGGCATTGAACAAATAGAACACAATGGATTTAAGGGGCAATAATAGAATACATTCTAGAAGTTCCACTGAGGTAGAAAACTTACCAGCCCCAAATATCGTTTTTTGCGTCCCCCCCCCTAGACGAAATCCTGAATCCGCCCTTGCCTACAATCTGGGGTGCTGCTACAGTATAGGGTTAATTATGTATGTACCATAAATGTAACAGACGATTCTTCGAGTAATTTTAAGACAAGTTTTTATACAAACATGTTCTTCTGTCTCAAAGGAGCCATTTTTCGCCCATCAGCGAATAGATATGACATATATATTTATGAAGAGTAAACGCCATAACAAAGAAGAAAACAGACTTATTTCAAATGAAAACAGAAATGTTGTATACATAAATTAAATAATTATCTGGGTGTTCTATATGTTTATCAAACGATAATAAAAGGTAATCAGTTTTCATACACTTAATATATTTTTCTTCTTCCTTGTCTTCTTCATTCGAATCACTATCAGACCATCCTTTAGTATCATCAAAAAGGTACTTGTTGAAGTAAGAACTGTTGTTGTCCTTGCAGAAGATGAAGTGGGAGTCTTTTGAGATTGAGCCATGCGTAATATATGATCTGCATTTAGGACACAACTTAGAACCAATCTGCAGATCACAGTTTTTAGATTTTCTAAGTATTGCTATAATGTCTTTGTTCGAGCAGCTACGGAAATCACGGTTTGTTTTTCGCCACGTTTTACAACAATCACACTGGCATCCAGGCATTATCGTTTTATCAAGTTTTTCAATAAAAGTTGAACGCGACAGCACCGCACAGTTTATATACCTTTACTACGTAAATACTTTTCGAGCGCGAAAAATCATGTCTGAACAGGCAGCAATTGCAGCGTTACTCACACTCTCCCGCAGCATATACAGGGTTTGTAACGGAAAGTAATAGGACTGAGTCGATATAAAAAAAATTATTGAGCCAATCGTTACAATTCTTTAAAAACTTTCAAAATAGGCTCCTTCTGCGTCGATGCGGCGCTGCCAGCGCGATTTCCAAGCATTGAAGGTGTCACGGAAGGCATACTCCGGAATAGCCTTGAGAGCCGCAGTGCATGCTGCTTGGATCCCCTCTGTCGTCTCAAAATGCTTGCCTTTCATCGGCCTTTTCAGGCGAGGAAACAAAAAAAAGTCCAGGGGGCCACATCTGGTCTGTAGGGCGGCTGCGGAAGCGTTGGGATGCCGGCCTTGGTCAGGTAGCTGTTCACAAGAAAAGCGGTGTGAGCCGGGGCGTTGTCGTGGTGCAACTTCCAGTTGGCTGCGATGTCTTGTCGGACCCGACTGACCCTTCGTTTGAGTCTCTTGAGCACTTTCACGTAAAACTTGGCCTTGACGGTTTGTCCAGGAGGAACAGATTCATGGTGGACGATGCCTTTGATGTCAAAAAAGACAATGAGCATCGTTTTCACTTTGGATTTGCTCATTCTTCCCTTTTTTGGGCGAGGAGACGCCGTCGTGTGCCACTCGGAAGATTGCCTCTTTGTCTCGGGATCGTACTCAAAGATCCACGACTCGTCACCTGTGATTACGTTATTCAAAAATGGGGTTCACTTTCACACATGTTCAAATTTGCTTGGCACACTTCCACTCGCCGCAATTTCTGATCGTCAGTGAGCACTTTTGGGACCATCTTCGTGCACACCTTGCGCATGTTCAAATGCTGTGTCACAATGTCATGAACCACAGATTTTGGTAAATTTAACATCTGGGCAATTAAACGAATACTTAGTCGACGGTCTGAGTTCAAAACTTTGTGCACACGAGTCACATTATCGGTGCTTGTCGAAGTCGAAGGTCTTCCAGCACGGTCTTCATCAGCGACCTCTTCCCGGCCCTCCAAAAAGGCCTGATGCCACTGAAACACACCACGTCTTGCTAAAGCAACACCTGGGTAAGCCAGCTTGATCATATCAAACGTCTCTGTCGCAGATTTACCGAGTTTCACACAGAATTTAATCGCGTACCTCTGCTCTAAAGAACGCTGCATTTTCGGCTTGCACCACTCACAGAAACACGTCGGGTGAAAATGCCTGTTCTGACTCTCCAAGTGCTTGCAGACAACTGACCAGTCGCTCATTCGTTAGCTAGGAATGCCCTCTACCGAATCCAGTCGGTGCGCGCACGCTCCGAAATACAGACATGGCGGAAGAAAATGAGTCCTATTACTTTCCGGACAAACCCATATTACGTATTTTTGGATTGATGCGCTCACTGAACCAAAACAAATAAATACTCACATACAAACTTATAATAAGTAGACTCATTGGGCATTAAAGTTAATGTGGTTCACGGAACGCTTCGTAGGGAAAGCATGATTCAAAGATCAAAAAACAACAAAAATGCACAAAAAGCGCTAAACACTCGATTTCTTGGCAATAATTTCTGAAGTATATTACATTATTTATACCGTAAATATTATATAATAAAAAAATACACGTCTTGAAGTTAAAAAATAAATTCAATAATTGTCTGGAATCGAACTTTTTATTTTTGAGTGTGTTATGGGCGAAA